AGGGCCAGTGTTTGATATCTTGTTGGATTTTTGAATCATCAAACTTTCTACCGATGAGACGTTTTGCATCAAAAACGGTATTACTGGATTCATCGCTACTTGGTTCTTCGCAGCGTCCCCCAAGAGACGCTCTGTATCTGTGAAGGCAACATAACTTGGTGTTGTTCGGTTGCCTTGGTCGTTGGCGATTATTTCCACTTTTCCATGCTGCCAGACTCCCACACAGGAGTATGTGGTGCCCAAATCAATACCAATTGCTGGAGCTTTCACCATCTTTTGATATTATCACACACAAAATACTTTAAATTTACTTTCAAAAACTTGGCAATTAAAACACTGCTTAACGATTTTGCTTTGATATCACTTGTTTACTTGTCGATATATTTGAATACTCTGAACATACCGCCGAAGCAAACCGCTTTTATATAAACGGTAATATTGACTCGAATTTTCCCGAATATTCTTCGAACCTTTTCGAACAATTAGAACACCGACTTGGTACGGGTGTCGTCTAACTGCACAAAATATCTACTGGATTAAGTTGTATTAATTTCATTTTATATATAATTTATCAATATACTTTTAGAATATTAAACGGTTACAACTGATAAACGTTAGCAGAATAATATTTGCTATAATACGGAATTGTGTCCATATAATCACAACTTAACTGTATATATATATTGTGCCTTATAATAAGTAAAAATAACACAAGCTAAAGTCGAAGTGAATGTATTTCAATTAATGTATTTCAATCAAATATGTCGTTCAACGTATCAATATGTCCAAGACGAATGGTAATTTCTTATATTATCAGATTCGGAATCTAACGTTCATTCTCTATCTGACTAATTCTTTCATTCTAACCCCGATGGGATTGGAAGAAGATATTGGCGAACTTTATGGGTCGGAAGACGTGTAGCCATAAGAGCAAAGGGTATGATCTCTTCAGTTCTGTCAGGTGTCCCGTAGTAAGACGTACCACGTGCGTAAGCCGAGAGTGGTTTTAGTTAGTAGTCATTGTACCATGGATGCATCCGAGAATAACATCCCCAAAAGGAGAATTGCGTTCGGCAGTACTCTGTCTACTTTGAATCCAACTCACGCTAGGTACGATTCACCAGATCGGTAAGATTTCCACTCTCACAGTACGTGCCTTTCTTTCAAAATCATTGGAGAACTGAAATAGACAACAAAAATATGATAAAACGTCTAAAAAAGTCCAAAGGTAATATAAATAACTTTAGATGGTGAAATCATTATGAAAAGTAATATTCTTCAAGTATTTAACATCAGTATTACAGAGTAATGTGCAAACATATTGGGATACAAGTAGTAAGCTTAAAGCGTTAGAAATTAAATGGATTTTAGCGGAACTAAAAGAAAAACGTTAGGAGAACGCTTAGGTGGATAATAAAATTAAGAATGGATATACGAGGGGAAGGTTAGGGATAACATCAATCGATGCCAAAACAAAAGAACATACCTAAAATATTATTTCCATATAAATGCTGGTAACTTTATTACTAGCGCACCAGATAAGCAGCGATATATTTTACACTACCTTTATGAATAACATTTTACTGCTCTGTTGTTTTAATCAGTACTGCTCAACAAGCTATCGTTGATTGGTTTTAATATTTTATTGCAATGATACGAGTACGGAATATTTATTTAAACAGTGAATTTATTACATGTTAATTTTTTTAAATTTCTTCTGACGTCTCATATAATGAAGGTTTCCCAATAATCAAAGTTATGCCTTATATATACAAGAACATATTATTTGAAAAATAAGGAGTACCATGTGTCATAATAATTGTAATCTCCTTTATACACACTTTAAAAAATTGTTTAGTAATGTATTTCTTAAATCCACACAATCATTGAAATATGATTCATGCTGTTTAAAAATATCTTTCTGTTAACGACACTGTAATCGACAAAGTAGATCAAATTCAAACGTCATCATATTTCTCTTCTGTTTATCGTTAAAAATTAATTGCTGGTCGTGGGTTGTATTGGTGTTATTTAATAATTTAACAAAATACATAATCAGCAAAAATCTTATTTAAACACATGCGAACGGTTTTTGCAATCACAATCAATGCAGTGTTTATGCTTGTTTAGCATTGGCTGTTAAATAATTTGTGTTCGATCGTTTCAATATCATTTCGAAAAAACATACGTTTCTGAAATAAAAATACAGTCGAAACGTAGATTGTTATCTCCACAAGAAAGGCGTTTAGTTCTAAAACTCGAAAGTCATTTCAATTTGGAAAAAAATAATATGCGTCCATTGACATCTGTTATCGCAGTTCAGAAACTCACATGCGATGTTTGCGGTATCTCAGAGATAACATTCCAAAGCATTAATAACATGAGTGAGGATGACATAAATACAGTAAGCAAGAGAAATCCTCGACATCCAAAAACTTTAGATTTGCACCAGTTGATTAAACTTGCAATTAAAAATATTATATATAATATGTATAAAGCCAAAGAACATGTAACAGTTAGTGCTGTGTTGCAAAAAATAAAAGACAAGGAACTGTGTGATATTAGTTTAACAAGTTTGTGGAGAGTGCTGAAACATTTAGGTTTTCGATATAAAAAGACAAATAATAGAAGTATTGTGTGAACTCTCTAATGTTGTTTCAAAACGGTGGCATTTTTAAGAAAATACATGAACAATAAAATGTCTGATAATCCGAGGCAAGTTGTATTTTTAGTTGAAACTTGGATTTTCGATAAAGGAAATATGTCAAAATCGTCCTGGCAAGATGACACCACGAAATGTTATTCTTCTAGTCGTTTCGGTAATGGTAAACGCTACATTATACTTCTTTTTCTTATGGTGCCCTATCCAATTAATGGATGTTGGCGACAATTCTGGCATACTCTCTCGATCTTGTGTGGCTCTAAAAAGTGCATGGACATCGAGGTTTGTCCAATCCCTTATGTTTTTAAGCCATGAGTATTTCATTACATTACATTATACTCATCTGGAAATGATGAGGTTTTATTCCGACGCTAGTTTATTTTCCGTCCACAAAAATACAGGATATCAGAAATAGGATGCAAATATTTTGAAAAGGTTTGACAATTGTTAAAAAATACGACCAAATGATTGCCAGGACGCGCTGGATTGAATCCCCAAGGCCGAGGGAAAGTAGGCAGATCCTAAGGGAATTTGGAGAAGGACAGTTACTGGACGAAGGGAGAACAACTGTGGATAAATCCTGGCTTGAAATCAAAGCACTACCAAAAGAGTTCGCTGGAGACACTTTGTGGTGTTTTAGTTAAACGATAAAGTACCTTCGGTCTAATTACTGGACTGCATACTCTCAATAGCTTTGGTATTAATTACTGGTTTACACGTGTTTAAACATTTCGTTTTGCTGAATACTCGGAAGTGATTTAGTGCCAATTTGTTTCAAGGTAATATTTAATACAGTGTCTACAGAAAGTAAAGTCTTGGATGTATTTTATTCAAATTTGAACATACCAGGAACTTGGCAAGTATTTTCCAATTTAACTGCATGCAAAACCATTCGTATAATTTTCACTCTACGCAAAATAGAGATTTATAGAGACCTTGATGAACATTTGATGTAGACAAATAATTTCGAGTATTCGAAACATTCCGTCCCACTTCTTTAACACGCCCTGTATATACATATTATACTCATTTTATTTGCCTTTGATACAGTAAAATCCAATATTATTACTGAACATAAATACAGGAAATTAAATATTTTTACTTTTCAGCGATCGGAATTAAATATTAACGGCCTGTTTGAGGCCCACTGATCATATCTTAATTACATATCGGCCCCCATAGGGTAAAAGGAGTTTAGGTTAAAATTGTTAGGGTATTTTCAACGTCGAATTAATAATCATGCAATATGAAAAATTGCTGAGTAGGCAGTTCTTGGAAGAAAAAGGAAACAGGAAAACTAAAGAAGATTTGATGGGAAATATTAGGCAGGGTCATATCAGTGAAGGGGATTGATATTGGTATGAGTTAAGATAGAAATATGGATAAATGTAATTGGAGATCCCGACCACTAAAGGTCGATAGGCAATTAGGGGATAAAGGCAAAGATAATGATGATGGACTGAAATGCTTTTTGTTTGAGTGTTGCTGTAATTTAATAAAAACAAAATTATCAAAAAGGTTTAATTTATAATTTGTAATTTATTTTTAACAAGGTATTTGATAAAATATCAAATAAAATAAATTAAAACATTTATATACATACTTAGTTTTTGAGTAGAAGTTTTTTAAACAACCTTCAGTGCAATTGATACATACTCAGTCTAGAATTCTCTTGATGACATGACAATTGACAATTCAGTTCAGGCTGATCAGCTGATCTCCAGAATATTTCCATTAAAATGATTCTGAAATGTTCTGAAAATTCCAGAATAAGCAAGAGTTTAAAAATATGAAAGAAAGATTAATCACATGGCATATATATTAAAAATCTAGTTTCTTAAAATAGTACGTGAACTAAAAAAATATGGATGGTTATGAAAGGACAAGTTAGCTAAAAATCAAACTCACAAAAAGTTTGAATACCGATTTGATAACTTTTGTTAATTAATTCTTTAGGATGTATAATGTTTATATATCTTAAATTCTAATTAATTATTTATAAAAACAATTTAAACTGTTGTATATATTGCCTATATAGTGGAAATATTAAGGTGATGTAGTAAACAACAAACAAGTAAATAATGTTTTATCTTAACCTCACTTATTATTTTTTTTTTTATCTTCAAATTTATTTTGCTAATCATTTTTATCTCGTTATAAAAATACTCTTAGATAAGCCCGACTGACAAATTTTTAGTCAAAACAAATTTTATCAATTACCTACATGAAAATAGAATTAACTTATCTTTCCTTTGAGTAAAAACATACAAGATACAATATTATTTACAGTACAGCTAAATTTTAATTTTAGTTGTACTGGAGTGTATACATTACAAGCATGTCTCTGAAAAACGTGAAACACACCCTAAATAATGGAGCCAATTTACCAGCAATTGGGCGTAAGTAGTTAAAATTGTTTTTGTTTTGAAATAATTATTTTTTATTTATATCACAAACAGTTTATATTAGGTTAATCTATTTCACAAAAGAAATTGTTAGTTCTGTTATAAACATTTTTACAAGAACTTATCATACCTTACTAAGATAATTTAAACATTTTTAGTTGGAACCTGGTTGTTAAAAGGAAAGGGTGTCTCAAAAGCTATGGATATGGCTCTAGAGGCTGGCTATCGTCTTTTTGGTAAGTACACATTTATGGGTCACTTAGCACTTAGTAAGTAAAACTTTGTTTTTTAACATGTAAAGAGGAGTAATATGTGAACTTAATTTATTTTTGACTTGAATTATAAACTTTGACAAAGTCAAAGTAATAACGTAATAAACACAACATAATACAGGAGAAATGCAAAAAAAATATTCAACATTGATTTAAAAGTTCACTGAATGAAAGTATAATTTGGTTCGCAAAACTTCTTTGAGGCACACTTTTAACTAAAACTCAGCAAAATTCTGATATAAAAGAAACTCTTATTTCTTGGAGTCTGCTTCAATTCTGAGATTGTTCTGGCAGTTCTGATGTTGAGAAACTCTTTTCCAGAGAGGTATACCATAGTTTCCCATAAATTTCAAACTCTTTTTCTAGATATAGCATACTGCATCATCCTGTTGGAAGACAAATTCTTGCCCTGATGTTAAATATTCTTCCATAATTGGTAAAATCCATTGTATCTCATCCCATTGCTGAAAAGTCCAGTGCTTATATTCTTTTGTCCATTTTACCCAATTTTTCTTTTGTTATATCAAAAATGGCTTTTCTTTAGCATGCAACAAAATTATGAGTATGGATTTTATAAATTTTTTAACCAAATAACTTTGTGTACTACTTACTTTGCCCTTGTGAGCCCCTTTGTGACACGTGGATCTGGAAATTCATCTTCCAACTGCACCAATCCATACAACACTTAGCACAAGATAATTTGCATGGCAATTTTTTTTCAATAATTCTTTTATTTGTGTCAGTCATTTTGCTTTTTCACATATTGCTAGGCTTTCTGGTAACTGAACCTGTAGTTTTATATCTGATGTTCTATAATTATCTCTGTTCAATCACTAATTATATTTTTTATGCTATACTGTCAGTTTTAATATATCTATAATTTCCAAGTTTTTGATTTTCTAAAATTAAAAAATCTAACAATAGTTGAACACAATTTTTTTCATTGCTTACTTTTCCCCTCCTCATTTTCAAATTACACAAATACCAGGAGACAAAATGTATAAAATGTATCTGAAAGTAATTGACAATTACTGTGATTTGATTTTTTAAAGCCACTTACAGATTTTTCACTGATAATATTTAATCTACCAACCTTCAAACAACCCAAAAACCGGAAGACCTCAAAATTTATAAAATGCATCTGAAAGTAATTGACCATTGTTGTGTTTGATTTTTCAAAGCTGCCTGCAGTTATAACGCAATTATATAATATCTTAACACAATTACCATGGGCTCATCTACCAGAGGAAACATGTTAATCTGTTGTGTTTTTGACTTAATTGCCAAAGGTTATGAAAATAACCTATTAAATTGTTTTGTCCTATTGAATGTTATTAAACATTCCGTGCTAATTAATTTGAGGACCAATACAAGCATGTAGGACATATACAGTATATTAAACCAATTTACACCTCTAAATGATTAATGGAATTCACAGAAAACCTTTTGCTGTAGTAAAATGCATGGGAAACTGCACTTACTTTGTTTAGATTATGTTTACCTATACTATCAGTTAATTTGTATAAAATGAGAAGTAAAAATTCAAATCAGAAAAAAATTATTAAACAAGTAGGTGAAAGAAATTTATGTTAAATAACATGCAAGAATACTATTTATTAAAAAAAAATGTAACAAAATATGTACAACTATGAACAACAGGTTAATGATACATATATGTATTTTATATCTAAAATTTAGCAAACTGTTCATAATGCAAACATTATGAAGAACAGTTTACTGCAGTTTACCGTTAATCGTTTAGAAGTGTATAGCTAATGGATTTTGACAAGAGCTATGACCTTGTCAAAAGGTGTAAACTTGTGTACTAAATCGGCATGACTCATAGCTCTTGTCAAAATCCATTACCTTTAAGTTAGTTGAATGTATTGTAATTTTTTATAGTGACAAAAAACTGTGATTTTAATAGTTAGGCCAAATGACATGGGAAATGGCTTATATTTATATCATAATGTTAAAATACCTATTATTTCAGATACTGCTACTATGTATGACAATGAAAAAGATATTGGGGATGCCTTGAAAGAACTTTTGCCAAAGCATAACTTAACGAGGGAGGATGTATTTATAACTACAAAATTATGTGAGTAATTCTCTGTTGGTTTTTTAGGTTTTTGAGATTCTATTTTATGTATAAATATTTGTTGTATCTTTGTTTAATTAAGTAATTGTACAATTAAAGACATACATACTGTATTAGTGTCTTTAATCTGCAAATCTCTATATTCTACAGTAGTGTTTATGGTAGTTGTGTGTTATTCTACTAATGGTTCCTGTTAGGTATTAATTTATTCATGTTTCAATATCGCAATGTAGGGAGAAAAGTATTTTAAGGGGGTATATTCACGCCGCAGTTAAAATGAGTGGTATTCAAATAAACTAACGGTTAACAATTTTTTGAATAGATGGCAGCACATTTTCTCGAAATTTAATTCTCTGAACAGCAGCATTGTTGCCAATGAGGCCAAGTACTGGAACTTAAAATATAATGTACGATCGGTATAGTTCGCTCTCGGTCGGCAGTCTTCGTAAGTTGAAATTAGCTATTATTTGAATTTTCACAAATTCTAATTTTTGGATTGGATCATTCCATATAATTTTTTAATTTTTGTATCGTATTGTGTTGTTCATTTACCTTTGAAGTTAAATTGCTGTTTTGATTTTTTTTTCTGTTGTTTTTTAGTTTTGTAAACATTTTAAATAGTGCATATCAGTTCTAAATATTTCTTCGCTCTACATTCTTTGACGGTAACAGGAGAGAGAATGTTCTCTCTCTTGTTACCGCCAAAGAATGTAGAAATTAGAACATTAATTTTCTCCTTGAGTCGGCACAAAAATTACTTGATTTAAAGTGTAACCTCCCTGTACATCTTGTACCCTAGTTGTATTTATGTCATTTGTACAACTAGCAGTGCTCTCACAATCTCTGCAACTCACATCCGCTGAACCACTAGCAGTGAAGCGAGTGAGAATCCGACCGCCCAGCCCGCTTGGCTATCTGACCGACATATTTACATTTACCTTGTTTAAAACAAGTTCAAACTCACATTACAATTAAACACATTAAAATTAAAATTCTCCCTAACAAAAATACATGTTCCTCCTCCAACTGAACTGAATCTGGCTGAGAAAGCTGCCAGTTTTAATCCCTGTAAGTGGACTGCTTGAATCTCCTCTTCCTTCAGCCCATGTTCCATTATACAAAGAACATCAATTTTCTTGTCTGCCATAAAAGCCTCTAGTTGTTCATCTACTTTATTCCATAATGATTGGTTCTTCCACCTTGCCCTGGTTCTGCAGCTTCAGAAAATGGTTAACAGTCTCTAGAATAAAATACTTGTGACACTTACCTTTGTATTTTTATATTGATGGTTAATCATAGTAAATAAACATTTTTCAGATCCATCTGAACAAGGAGAAAAAGCATTTGATGCAATTCAAGAATCATTAAGAAAATTAGATAGTCAATATATTGATCTGTACCTGATCCATTGGCCTGGAACATATGGAGTCAGTTCTAGAAGTAAGCAAAACGCCATCCTAAGAGATCAGAGCTGGCAACAGATGGTAAAAGCTGTAAACATGGGTTTGATAAAAAATATCGGAGTTTCAAATTACACAGTAAAGCATTTAAAGGAGTTATTGAATAACAATCATGGTATAAAGCCAGTTGTAAATCAGGTAACAATTATTTTTTTCACTTTATCGTTAATGATTTTTCAGACGTTAGTTTGTAAGTTTGGTTTTCTTCTGCATTAATTTTTCTATAATTTCCTATTTTTATTTATTTAGCGTATGGCTACATCACAGGTTTATATATATATATATATATATATATATATATATATATATATATATATATATATATATATATATATATATATATATATATGTAAATTATATATATTACAAACAACAGTAATACAAAATATTATTCTACAAACAAACATCTAGATTATAAATACATTCGATTGAGTCTTTTGTAGCAGCCAGGAAATCCGAAGGGTTGCCGTTATAGGATCTAATCGGGCATTCCTCTACCATGTGTTTTACTGTTTGCCTTTCGGCGCCGCAGTCGCAATTTGGTGATTGTATTTTTCCCCATCTAAAAAGTGAGTCGGAACATCTGCCACAGTTCGTCCTTATTCTATTGAGTGTGGTTCAAATTCGTCTTGGTTGGTTGAAGCCCTCAGGTTTGCTTGTAATACATGGCATGTTCCAGTTAGCTGGTGCAGCGTTATTTTCCCATTGTTCTCTCCACCGTTCAGTTACATTAAAGTTTTGATCTACTAGCCTTTTTGCTGTTTTTAGAAGCGGGTGTTTTGGAAGGAGCCTATTTATGTCTCTGGCGGAAGTTCCGACATGGGAGCGGAGCTCAGGATCAGTATTGATTTTTGTAAATTCTCTGAAAGGGCATGTTCCCGGCGGATAGATGGTGGAGCGATATGACTCAAAGCTAGTAACCAGTAAGTGGGCGTGGCCTTGATTGTGCCCGATATAGTTCGCGTGGCTTGGTTGAGTTGGACATCAACACAGTGAGTATGTGGACTGTTTATCCATACTGGTGCACAGTATTCCGCTACGGGGTATACCAGTCCTAATGCTGTCGATCTAAGTGTGGGTGCTGAGGAGCCCCATGTAGTGCCGCAGAGCTTTTGCAGGATGTTGTTACGAGTTCGGAGTTTTGCAGCAGTCTTAGTAATATGCTCTTTAAAGTTTAGCGTTCTGTCAAGTGTAACACCTAAGTATTTTGGGTGTTTATTATAGTTAAGGAGTCTATCCTCAAAATGGATTTGAGGTTGACAGTTGGCCATCTTGTTGTACAAATGGAAGCAGGACACTTCTGTCTTAATTACTATTTATAACTGGGAATAAGCCACATTAAAGATAAAAATACATTTATTGACGTTTCAATTTCCAATTCGGAAATCGTTCTCAAAATACAAATAGTAAATTAAACAAATTTTGTTTTTTGTTACATAGTGAAAAAATTCTTCTGCTAATTTAATTTTATCTGACTCATTTATATTGACAATTCAGACATACATTATGCATTTTAAAGTAGACGACTTTAAAATGATATTGCCAATATTGTTGAGTTGCGCTCCTGGGACGACTTTACTTATAAGATAGTTCATTCGATTACATGAAATCAACTTTAACTTGAGAATATCCGTCAGAAAAAATCATAGCATGTAATTCGTCTTTAAAAAGACAAACACATGACATGATGACAGTAAAATTCTCCTGTCAAAATTTGTTTAATTTACTATTTGTATTTTGAGAACGATTTCCGAATTGGAAATTGAAACGTCAATAAATGTATTTTTATCTTTAATGTGGCTTATTCCCAGTTATAAATAGTAATTAATTTACAATGCCACAAGAAAATAGCTTCAGAACAATACTTCTGTCTTAGTTGGATTGGGTTGCAATCTCCATTTGCGGGGGCAAATAAGCAATAATTCCCTAGGGCATTTAAATCGTTTGTTAGAATGCGTTCAGTGACCTCGAATTCTTTATGACTTGCGGCAAGCGTCCATTCGTCTGCATATCCAAACTTTTTTGATGTGGTTTCTGGCATGTCTGCTATGTAGAGGCTGAAAAGCATGGGAGCCAGCACGGATCCTTGTGGAAGTCCATTATTCAGTTTTCTTTGAGTACTAGTCTTGTCTCCCAACATAACTTTAAAGCATCTGTTGGATAGCATGGCGTTGATAACCTCAGTGGTCTTTCTGCATGGGATTATTCGCATTAATTTATATATTGCCCCTTGTCACCACACAGTGTCGTAATCAGCAGATATATCGATGAAGACAGCGGTTGTTTTTAATTGCTTTTGAAAGTTTGATTCCACATAATTGGTCAGGGCGAGTACCTGGTCTGTGCAGCTGCGGTTTGGCCGAAATCCTGCAAGAATACACTTCTACATTTGATTAAAGAACAAAATTTAAGAACTAGAATAAACTGGGACTCCGTTTACATTATTCTCCCTTAGTTGCTTAGCTGACAATATGTTACATACCACAGAAAGAAAAGTTGAATATAATAAGTTTATTTTTGTAAATGTTTTATGTAGAACATGTACATATTATGTAGTATAAAGATTATCTTAAAAACGGAACAAATTATTATTTTTTATTTATCGATGACTTTCTCTCGATAATAGTCACCTCCCTATAGCGACTATATTTTCGACAAATAGTCTTGGCCGCAATTTAGAGGTTTTAATTTAATATATAATTTTTTTAGGTGGAGTGGCATCCATACTGTCATCAAAAAGAACTGTACGATTTTTGTAAAGCAGAAGGAATTCAGTTGCAAGCTTACCAATCGCTTGGAGGTGAAGGCCAAGGTTCTCTTTTAAACAATTCCCAAATTAAGAAGATAGCCGAAAAGTTAGGAAAAACCGTAGCACAGGTATATTGTACTTTATAAATGAATTTTATTGTTATAAGTTATAAGTTATATACTCTGTCTCAAAGTGACTAGTCTGTACAGGGAAAGATATGCAATGCTAACCTTATGGGAATTTCGCGAAGACGTTGCCAGTTTTATGCAGTGAGCGATGGCGTTCTCTATTGTCTATCTTTCAAAATAAACGGAATAAACCAGGATTTTTTAAATTAAAATCGAAGCTTACATCCTCGAAGCCAATTTCTCGCCTTGGGAGTAAGTTGGTGGATTTCTTGAAGGCTGCCAAAGGATTTGGTGGCTGGACACTCGAAGACGATGTGGTTAATTGTTTGTTCAGCAGCGCTGCATTTGTCACATTCCGGGCTGGTATTTATACCCCATTGATTCAGCGATTTGTTACAAATTCCATGACCAACTCGCTATTTTTTGTTTCCTTCCAGTTTTAAGCTATTTTTTGTTTCCTTCCAAAAATTATAATTTTTAATGTTTTTTTTTAATTATTGATTTAAAATGCGTTTATAAATAAAGTTTTCTTTCAGAAAAAAAGTGTTTCGGTAACATGAACCCATCATATTATATATTTACGATAATTTCAAAATATTCCATATTTTTGCCCATGTGTGTATAAATATATTTACCTAATATGCACACTTCTGTTAAGAAATAAATTCTGATTTAACGATATTTTAGATCCTTCTTCGATGGTCTATACAGCAAGATGTTGCCATAATACCAAAATCAAAAACGAAAGAAAGAATTATAAGCAACATGGAACTCGATTTTACAATTCCGGAAGAAGACATGAAAATACTGTTTGGTTTTATTCAACAGAAGTTCGATTGGGATCCCGAAACAATATTATAGATGGACAATGTGGAACTTGATTAATTTAAGATGCATATTTTTACTTATAATATAGTTTATTTTTGTTATAAATAAAATAATGATAAGAAAAGAATACATTTGTCATAACTAGAGTAATATGCGAATTATTCTATGTATAAGCTAAAGCAATAAAAAATTAAATCTTTTTTTTTATTATTTATTTAATAAAATTGTTCTAGTCTAGCCGGGATCTGTAAAAACGTATTTTAAGTTGGTTAAAGGGAGTCGGACCTTTTTGTCGGAGATTTTTGTAGAAATCTCTTGAATGGTATTTACAAGCAGAATTTAAGTATACTTCAGCTAAAACAGCTGTGGAAAATTCAGAAAAAACGTTAGAATGAAAAACATATACTGTCAAGTTGTAACGGGTAGCTCGGTTAGAAACGAGACTCCAGGAATATGGATTAATTTCTTCAACTGTAAAGAAAGTAATTGAAAAATTCTGCGAGACTGGATCAATTCTGGATTCAGCTAATTTTTTTATTATTTTAGACTGTTTCTTTGGTATTAACACTGTTGAGCAAATGTTTACTCAATTTTCTCTTTTGGGCTTATACCGGATGGAAGAAAAAAGTTTTTCTTGTGTTAAGTTTAGGACATCCTGTAGGAGGACAAGGTACAAGGGTAGGTTTACATCAACACCTTGTTATAGTTTCATGTTTGGTGAACATTATGTTGTTTTAATTTTCAAGATATCTTTAAAAACAAAGAAAATATACTACTTCCAATAATAGTTCTGACCGACTCGTTAACGAGTTATTCAATTAGGACTTCGTCAACCACTTCCTGCTTCCCTGTAAGATGTAGAAACTATGATTATTGATATCTGAAAACTGTTTTTTTCTTTTATTGTTAATTTAATATTACTTCAGTTAAAACACATGTTAAAGAATAAAACCGTATATTTTCTTTGTTTTTAAAGATATCAAGGAAATTACAACATAGTTTCGATATACACTCATCCTCGTACTTTGTCCTTTGTACCACACCCGGTATAGGCTCAAAAGAGAAGTTTGAGTAAATCTTTGACCATCAGTGGCTACACTAAAAAACAAGTCTAAAATAATAAAAAAAATTAGTAAAATTCGCTAATCCATTCACGAGAAAATCATCTATCAAAATGATCATAATTTTTATTGGGACAGCTCCCAATACGTCGGCCTTAAAATGAATATGACAAAAATAAAAACAATGACCAACACAGACTATCCCAGTATAGCTGTTACTGGTAGTGAAATGACAATTCCAGAAATATATCTACCTAGGCCAAATTCTGAAATTTGACAAAGAGAACCAAAGTGCGGAAATCACTAGGCTAGGAAATCTTTAATAGGCAGGATTTGTAAAACTCAGTTGGATACTCTAAAAGTACAAAATACCTCAATGCTTGAGGAGCAAAGTGTTCAACCAATGTATCCTTCCTATCATGACTTATGGGTGTCAAACCTGTCGAAATGGACGGCTATGGATGTCAAACAAAAGTTGAGGATATCACAACAAAAATTGCCAAATTAAAATGGAGCTTCACAGGTCACAGTGGTAGACAAAAAGATCAACGTTGCAATGTGACAATACAACATTAGAGATCTTACAAATGTAGATGACCACAGATGAGATGAGTGGACGGCATAAAAATAATAGCCGGAACAATTGGAAGTATGTTGCTCAGGATAGAGATCTATGGAAGGATTTGGGAGAGGCCTATGTCCAAAGGCCTCCATAGAGGCCTTTGGACATAGGCCTGAAAATGGGCCTATGAGAGATAGGCTCAATGTATGAGAGAAGACGAAGAAAAAGATATATACGTGTGTGCATGTGTATGAGTGTGGTACAAAAGAAAAACTAATATTTTTTAACATATGTTTATTTTGTAATATACAAAAAATAGTTTAGTTATATCATGTACAAAAATCAGTCTTATTTACATATTTACAAAAAAAAATGCGACTAGAAAGAAATATTAATCTACTTCTTCCACAGTAGGTCCATTCTGATTTCCTCCAAATCCTCCGTACTGTTGACCACAGCTACCAGCTGTTGCACCATTATATTGATTATTGTTTTGACTTCCCTGATACAATTTTGACATAATGGGACTACATATTCTGTTTAAGTACTTTTGTTTGTCTTCATATTCTTCTTTGTCCGCTAAATTGTTGCTGTCTAACCATTTCAAGCAACTCTCACATTCGTTTTCAATGGTCGATTTATCCTCAGGAGATAGTTTGTCTCCGCATTCTTGTAGAGCTTGCTTAAGTTGGAACACGTAGCCTTCAAGTTGGTTCCTCGAATCAATTTTCTGTTTCTGGCGTTCGTCTTCTTCCTTATATTTTTCAGCTTCAGATAACATTCGGTCGATTTCTTGTTGTGATAAACGACCTCTATCATTTTTGATGGTTATGTTGCGAGTGTTTCCAGAACTTGTATCTTTGGCTGAGACATTAAGTATACCATTGGCATCCAGATCGAAGGTAACCTCAATCTTCGGTACTCCACGAGGCGCAGGAGGGATACCACTAAGATCAAATGTGCCCAGACGATTATTGTATTTTGTCAAAGCCCTTTCACCTTCATATACCTGTATAGTAACAGCAGATTGGTTGTCAGCATATGTAGTAAATGTTTGGGTTTGCTTACAAGGAATTCTTGAGTTTCTAGAAATTATATTAGTCATGGCACCTCCTGCGGTTTCAATTCCTAATGATAATGGAGCTACATCAACTAGCAATACATCTTGTATCTTAGAATCAGTTTCACCACTCAATATTGCTGCTTGTACAGCGGCCCCATAAGCTACAGCTTCATCTGGGTTGATAGACAAATTCAAAGATTTGCCACTGAAGTAATTTTGCAGAAGATGTTGAATTTTAGGAATGCGTGTGGAGCCACCAACAAGAACAATATCGTGAATTTGTCCTTTATCTAGTTTTGCATCATTCAATGCCTTTTCAACTGGTTGAAGTGTTTTTCTGAACAAATCGGAACACAACTCTTCAAATCTTGCTCGACTAATTTTGGTATAGAAGTCAGTACCTTCAAAAAGGGCATCTATTTCTATAGTGGCTTCAGAACTGGATGAGAGTGTACGTTTGGCTCTCTCTGCAGCTGTTCTTAATCTTCTAAGGGCTCTTGGATTACTTGTTAGATCTTTTCTGAATTTTCTCTTAAACTCATCAGCAAAATGATTGACTAACCTGTTGTCGAAATCTTCTCCTCCAAGATGAGTATCACCAGCTGTGGCTCGTACTTCAAATAATGAACCTTCATCAATTGTAAGGATGGACACATCGAAAGTACCTCCTCCCAGATCAAAAATAAGTACATTCTTTTCACCTTTGAGATTCTTGTCAAGACCATAGGCCAATGCTGCTGCCGTTGGTTCGTTAATGATTCTCAAAACATTGAGACCAGCAATGGCACCTGCATCTTTAGTGGCTTGTCTTTGTGAATCGTTGAAATAGGCTGGAACTGTGATAACTGCATCTTTAACATTGGTTCCCAGGTAGGCTTCTGCTGTTTCTCTCATTTTTGTAAGTACCATCGAACTAATTTCTTCTGGACCAAAGGTTTTTCGCTCCCCTTTGTAATCGATTTGGATCTTTGGCTTTCCACAATCGCTCACAACTTTAAAGGGCCAGTGTTTGATATCTTGTTGGATTTTTGGATCATCAAACTTTCTACCGATGAGACGTTTTGCATCAAATACGGTATTACTAGGATTCATCGCCACTTGGTTCTTCGCAGCGTCCCCTAAAAGACGCTCTGTATCTGTGAAGGCAACATAACTTGGTGTTGTTCGGTTGCCTTGATCGTTGGCGATAATTTCCACTTTTCCATGCTGCCAGACTCCCACACAGGAGTATGTGGTGCCCAAATCAATACCAATTGCTGGAGCTTTCACCATTTTTTATATATTATCACACACAAAATACTTTCAAAAACTTCGCAATTAAAACAGTGTTTTACGATTTTACTTTGATATCACTTGTTTACTTGTCGATATATTTGAATACTCTGAATATACCGCCGAAGCGAACTGCTTTTATATAAACCCTAATATTGACGCGAACCTTCCCGAAAATTCTTCGAAGTTTCTCGAACAAATGTAGAAAGTGGACTAGACTCGGGTATCGTCAACTGCACGAAGTACCCTTTGGATTAAATTTAAGTAATGATTTCGGTTGGAGTAAATGTAATTTTTAAACATTAAATGGTTATTATTCGTAAACTTCAATAGCATAGTATTTTATTTAACAAGAATTATTTTATTTTCAAGTAAAGACATGAAATTTACTTAATTTACTTTAAAATATTAAATAAACTTTGATCACGGATAAGAATAACACTGGCTTGAGTTGAATAACTTCTAGCTATTTTCAACCAATCAACAAACTGTTTTAAACGCCATATAATAGCACCAACAAACCAGATGCAAATGCAGTGTGCTATTGTATAGTTTTGTAGTGTTTTTTTAATAAGTTACATTAAGGGTTATATAATTTGTCACTTATTTTGTAAAATTAGCTCTTATTATTGAGTATTAACAAAATTAAACGTACAACTGTTTATTCTGAACTTTTGTTATAATCGAAAAAAAAAAAAAAAACCAAGATTTCTATAGTTCTTGTAATGTAAAACCGAATGTTTGTTCTTTAACGTATTGACCAGAATGGAAGATCTATATTTAGTCTACAAGTTTTCAGTTTTCCAGTAGAGTACAGTTTTTACTGAAATGTTTATCAAAAACATATATATCTATGGGCTACAGCTATTTCGAACTGCACCTTTTTCAGTCGGTCCATTCCTCCGTATTTATGGCTATATGTCATTAAACTTCTCTCCATTTAATGTTGGTCTTGTCCCACAAATCACAAGTTCTCCGAGTGCTTTTCGAACAACAAAGAATTTGTTTGCTTTCAAATGACTGCTATATCCAGTTTAGGGCTGGATTAGACTTTTTTTAGAGGCTGCTAGCTCTAGACATTTCGACGTTACTACTACTGCTTTTCAACTCTTTATCTCGAAAGGCAAAAAAGTCATCGTCGTTATCGCTTTCTATTTCAAGAGTCTGACTCCAGTTTATCAAGGAGTTCAAACACCATGATCTGGATTGGCTGTAAGCTTTTCCAAGTTCAGTGCTCTATTAGATTCTACAAAAAGCAAAAATATTACTGTACTGACCTTTTTTTCTGTCTGTGTATGTGTTGTCTCACAGCCGTTGCATTTGTGATAACATCTCAAAGTACGCTCATTAAAAAAAAAACCTCAAAATATTTTGAAGGTGGAAGTGGACAAAAACTTTGCTGTCGCAAATTTAATAAAACTATTTATGATAAAAGTAGCTGGTTATGTAGCTACGAATACAACAATCTGTTTTGTTTTGTAAATGATTTGTTTGGAGGTGACGAGACTTGGTCAAACAAAGGCACCGATGATCTTATCCGTGTATGGGATAAAATGAAATCTCATGAAAAATATAAAGTGCACATGCATAATGTTTTTAGCTTTTTAATGCTTGGTAAGTTAAATATAAAAACTCAGGTAAATTCAGCTTATCGTGATACTCTAATTAAACAGTGGATAAGAATCAATATGTTTTGAATCAAATTATAATTTGTGGAGCTTTCGAGTTAGCTTTAAGAGGTCACGACAAAACGGAAACGTCAGAAAATAGAGGCATATTTAAGGAGCTGGTTAATTTTAGCGCCAAATTAGACAACGACTTAAAGGTTCACATTTAAAGTTCCAAATCTTTTAAAAGTACCTCAAAAACAACCCAAAATGAACTCCTTGAGTGCATTTTAGATGTTTATGACGAGGAAATTAGGAAAAAAATGACAAACAAGTAGGTACATCAAAAAAATATTTAAAATACAAGAACAATCAACTAACCTACTATTGCATTTTCGCTCTCGTATCCATCATCGTCACATTTTTGTAAAAACTCTTTAACCGTCATTGTTCTTAATATTTTTTTCATGCGAGATTGCAAAGTTTGTCTTTTTAAATTAAACGTTCTGGCTGCCTTTCTTTGGGACATATTTCTTAAAAAAATATTTTGTAGAGCATCTTTGATAAGCCGATCACTTATATTTGCTCGATCTGTTTTATTTTGGTACTTTCTTACCATTTGCAATACAAATAAATATCAAAATAATCACTAAAACTACTACTAAATTAATGTGGGACAGAATCGGTCACTGTCGAATGAACCCCGTTAGGCCGGCCGAAAGTATCCCCACCTGACTTTCCAAGCATGAAAAATTTATTGTGATCTTCTGGTCAAAGTTAGAGGTTATATCAATGCATATTCTGAAACTAGAGATTTTCAACCTAATATGAGCAAATTTTTACAAAAATATGTGAACAGTAACTATCTAAATCACATAAAATATTTATATGTATTTTTAAAAACTTACCTTGAGCTTAAAAAACACACTTAAAAAAAAAACAAATATTTGGACGCTGTTTATTATAGAAATACCATTAACTAAAGTGAAGATGGATTGTTGCCACATTTCTAGCGAAAATTTGGAGCGAAATTCTACTTACTTACTATTTAACTGGGAATAAGTTACAATTAAAGATAAAAATACGTTTATTGACGTTTCAATTTCCAATTCGGAAATCGTTCTCAAAATACAAACAGTAAATTAAACAAATTTTGTTTTTGTTACATAGTGAAAAATTCTTCTAATAATTTAATTTTATATGACTCATTTATATTGACAATTCAGACATACATTATGCATTTTAAAGTAGACGACTTTAAAATGATATTGCCAATATTGTTGAGTTGCGCTCCTGGGACGACTTTACTTATAAGATAGTTCATTCGATTACATGAAATCAACTTTAACTTGAGAATATCCGTCAGAAAAAATCATAGCATGTAATTCGTCTTTAAAAAGACAAACACATGACATGATGACAGTAAAATTCTCCTGTTAGTGATTCCATAGTAAATTATGAGGGAAAAACCAGAAAAAAAGAAAAATCAAAGAAGCGGCTCTAATTATGCTAAATGAGGCCAATTGTTTTGCAAATTCCTGGCAGCATGTAGTAGGATCTGTTTACCAATATTGAAAGAGGAAGTTATTAATAAGAAAATACCAGTATTAGTAAGTCAGTAACATATAGAGGATACATCATTTATGTTTTTTAAATAACGTAACATAGAAAATCAGAATTTTGATGTTTGTTGAAGGTAAACTAAATTTACGAACAAATACTTACAATGTGCGGATAGTATTATGAGGTTTTTTTTCCTGGTTTTTCCCTCATAATTTACTATGGAATCACTAACAGGAGAATTTTACTGTCATCATGTCATGTGTTTATCTTTTTAAAAACGAATTACATGCTATGATTTTTTCTGACGGATATTTTCAAGTTAAAGTTGATTTCATGTAATCGAATGAACTATCTTATAAGTAAAGTCGTCCCAGGCGCGCAACTCAACAGTATTGGCAATATCATTTTAAAGTCGTCTACTTTAAAATGCATAATGTATGTCTGAATTGTCAATATAAATGAGTCAGATAAAATTAAATTATTAGAAGAATTTTTCACTATGTAACAAAAAACAAAATTTGTTTAATTTACTGTTTGTATTTTGAGAACGATTTCCGAAGTGGAAATTGAAACGTCAATAAACGTATTTTTATCTTTAATTGTGGCTTATTCCCAGTTAAATAGTAATTAATTTACAATGCCACAAGAAAATAGCTTCAGAACAATATTAAGAAATTCTACTTATTTAAAATTTTATTTGTAGTTGGCTGAATCTGCCCCCAGGCCGAATGTGCCCCACTCTCGCCTATTGCGTAGTCATATTTTCAGACACACTGGAGAACTGAGATACTTCAAATAAGTACTATTCAAACAATCCCACTTTTCACACTTATAACAGGAAATTTGGTTGTGATAATATTAAATTTAGTTATTTCTAAATTATAAAATACAATGATAAATATAAAGCTATAAATTTACAATCGAATTACCAACGAAAAAATTTTGCCGACATAAATCGATATGTAAAATAAAGAGAATAAATAAAATTAAATAAACTTGAAATTTTTAAAAACACATTATGTGCAATTGATCTACGCCCATTCTAGAATTATCTAGTGATGTGTGTCCCGTACATTACGGCGAGATTAAACGATTCACTTTTGCCTTTCAATTTGGATGAAGCGAAGCAACGAAATCGATCGAAGTATGTAAACATAAAAATGAGTCATTCCATATCATTGAAAGTTGTCGTTCAAGGTTCAATGGCATTGAAAGAATTAAACTTGCTCAATATTTTCACTTATAGCGTTCAATGAGAAATGAATGTGTAATGTAAAATGTAAACACAAGAATTGAACGATTCATTTTTAGTCAGTCGTGTGCGCCACAGTGTCCAGTGTCAAGGAAGGGCCCATAGAGAAAGAAGGACCTACCTACCACTTATACAACACAATGGTTTTCAAATGGAAGGAAGAGCACACGCCTCTGTTCTTGGAATATTTTAAAAAGTATTCTTGTCTATGGAATTATAAAACGGAGGGATATAAAAACCGAGATTGTCGTGTAAATGCTATTAAATCGTTAATTGAAGATTTGAATATTAGTGGTGTAACTGAAGAAGACATAAAATTGAAAATTAAAAGTATCCGTACTCGTTATACTTGCGAGTTAACAAAGATAAAACGATCGACCAAAAGCGGTTGTTCAACAGATGATATTTATGTGCCAAAGTTGTTTTGGTTTAAACAAGCGGATGAGTTTTTAAATGCTGTCTGTGTTCCAAGGGAAAGCACATCTAACTTCGTAAGTATTTAAGTATAGTAATCGTAAATATAGTATTTAAACTAATATTCATCATCATCATCACTGGCTCGACAACCCTTTTTGGGTCTTGGCCTGTTCAAGGATTCTTCTCCATTCTGACCTGTTTCGTGCATTTTTTTCCAGTTTTTAATTTTTAATGTTGTTATATCATTTTCTATTTGTTCTACGTATCTCAGCT